CTGGGACGAGCATCATCCTCAGTATCAGATCAATGCTAACAGTTTTGGATACATGTATGGAAGACTGTAAATAACGTAAGGTACAAATAAGTGACACAAATAGTCCAAATGCGGCTATGTATATGCGATTATTAGAGATGGACGGTTGGGAAACGAGGAAGTGATTGAGAGAATGCGTAGATACGAGAATAAAAGACAGAAAGGTGCATCAAGATGAGGGAGGAGAAGAGCACAGATATCATGAGCAAACCCGGAACCAACGAAGTGCAATTGTTTTTGTTGTTGTTGGGAAACCGAAAATTAAAACAAAATAAGTATATATATATGAATATGCACACAAAATTCATCCACGTTCCATGGGGTGAAACTACAATGGAAACGGCTCGAATTAGATAGACCATTTGCGTTCATGCAAATAAATGGATTTTTCTTCTAGCTAATTTCAANTAATTTCAAAATCCTCAATGATATACGTGCAAACGCTGATTAGTCTGAATTCAGTTAAATCGATACACGATTCTCCCATTTAAACCTATTCATCTGATTCCGGTAGACACGATGAACAGCCTCGAGAGCATAGACGAGCCAATCAATTAAGTCTCGTTTCTTCCGGATTACTTTGTGTCGTGGAATGGTTAAAGTAACCTGTCTTACTCGTATATGATTTCGACAAGGGATATTAATTGTTCCGGTTGCAAGCTTTTCTCTATTTTCATTTATATCAATCAACTGAAACAAGTTGTCACATATCCGAAACAGTATACAAAAAATTGTTAGCCGATCACATGCAAAGTGTTCACATGTGGCGCGCACATAACTTCATAATACGCGGTTCTCGCATCTGGAGAAGGAAGGAAAACCACGCACACACACACACATTCAAAGAGATATTTATGCGGAGGTAAAAACAGGCACGGCCGTGTCGGGAGAGATCGAGGCGGCAGGACTAGCAGTAGCAGGAGAGAAATAGCAGTTCGAAATAGCACGACACATATCTATGTAGCCAAATTGATCAAAATATCACATGATCCGCTCCCAATCGATTTGCGTGCATCTGCTTGAGATTTCGTAGACAGGGAAGAGAATGTGTGCAAAATTTAGGTAGCATTCAGTTGCTCTTTCGTATAAAGTTCAGTCCAGTGGATCGACATCACCGCCAACGTGACTGAAGCGACATTTATTTGGTGTGTGTGTGTGTGTGTGTGTGTGTGCGTGTGTGTGGTGGGACGGGATTAGAGACGAAAGCCATTGAGGTGAGGGACATCTGTGGCGAGCAGAGAAGAGTGTAAACTGACGACTACCCAGGATGCATAGAGATCATTCATTATTCGCATTCACGTACGAATCAAACGCACCTAATTGTACCGGCTGTGAAAGAAAAAATTGCAAATGGGATCCGTTGAACGAAATAATATTACACACACAGGCACAAACCGGGAGTGGTACAAACCACATCTGTGCATCGGTAATCGCTGAAGATGAAACAGAAATACTACACTGTTCGTCGAGGAAGTGAATGAATATGTGCTCCTTACATGCAAGTTGATCCCAATACCAAGAAAATTCGCACGAGATGTATCATTCTTTATATATTTCGGAGTTTTACAGTAATTATTACAAGCGATTCACGCCATGATTTATTCTTATACAGTTTAATCTGGTAGCCCAGAATTATTATATTTGCTTGTCCCTACACTTCGCGGAACTCTAAGAGTTGTGATGAGATGGTTACATATTATTGATTAATCCTGGATGGCTTGTGAATGGTTAAGCAATCCATTAATAATCGAAGCGATGTACTTGTTACTCATGAGTAGGTAAAGATTAACTTTACATTTTTGTTGCTATTCATTTACAGTTGCAACCTATGACCCAAACTGGTTTGAATTGTGGCTGTTTTCGCGAACAACAGTTTAAAACTGATTCTGAATTTCATTATACAGAAGGGTAAGTGATACTGGCCGTTGCCGAGCGCGTACGCACGAGAGCAGGCAAGAAGACAACGATTGGAAGCATGCTGATCGAGACAGTAATGGTGGTGGTGGTGATGGTGGTGGTGTTGAACCCAGACTGTTCGTGTACGTGAGCGATAGACGGACGGACAAACAGACAGACAAACGGTTTAGTCATGCATCGTAAGATACCAACAGACACAAACGACCACCGTACACCGTGTATGGTTCGCGATGAAACCTTACTCGACCCCAGTATTCTGAGTGGATGGGGTCAGAACAGATGTGCGAATCGAGGCGGGACTTCGTCCGCCATGGTCTGAAACACAGTACAGTGCAAAGCGTACAATCAGTCAGTCAATCCTGAATTCAGATGAAAATTTACGTTCTATAATGAGCACACCGATTCTCTGAATATTAGCCTACAATTATGAAACAGGTTCTAACGGTGCATTTGCGTCACATGTCACCAAGATTACATCACAACAGACATGACCGCTTCCATCAGACAATATCCGAATATAGGTGCATAAACATATAGACATTACCGCTGGAAAAAAAATAAGTAAAATAGCTGCAAGTAAGTACTACTCACATGCCTATTTCATATCATTCCTCGATTCTTTTATACCACCATCAGTATCGGTCAAATATATAATTGGTAACTTATGCGCACAAAAATGGGTTATACATGACACTCTTTGGTTAGCATTTATAATTAAAAAAACAGTTCCCATCAGAAAGAAAGTAACGTGTTTACTATAAACTGTACAAGATAAGCAGCAGTCCATGAGAAAAAACAGTAAAACCTTTCACAGGAGAGTGAGAGGAAACTCACAGTGATTCTCCTAAGCAAGGAATTAAAAACCGACTATACAAATCTCCAAAATTACAAATAAGCAGGTACGTTTTCAACATGAATACCAAAATACAGAAGGGATGAAAGGTTGGATATATACTGATACACGATTCAGCATCTCATACCCTATGTCCGTAAATGTCAATGTAAATGGGAATATCAAATCTGTCTTCATCAACATGCTGTCCACTAACACGTAACATAAATACGTACATTCATCCATCCATCCATCCATCCATACATACATACATACATACATAAGTACTTACATATATACATACATACGTACATACATACATATTCCCGCCGTTCACACTTGTGCTGGTTGTATTGCAATCAAATTTCCAATGGGCCTCCTGATTTTTGCAACCCAAAAATCATCAATATGCAAAGCACCACAAAATTTATTACTGGCGCTCATATCGTAGGATTGGTCATAGCGATAAAACCATTCTCCGGTTCAGATGTTCGTTCAATTTTCACACATCTTATTCGCTGCACGAACTCAAATACATATATGTTTGTGTGTTCTGTCGTTCTGTGACTATAATACTTCCGTACAAAATGCAAAATCAACGTTCCAGGGAGGGGGTCAGATGGCACGAAACTGCGGGTGCATAAAAGTGTGCTTATGTGACACCTAAGTGCACATACCTTGGATCCGCGCTCGTTGAAAATGATTTCCACATCCAAAATAGTTCCAAAGGGCTGAAAAGAAAACAGAAAACCGGTGGAAAAATCAATCAAAACTGGTCGTCCCTGGTTTCATTTTCCTTCAGAATGCTGGGTTTCAAACCGTCATGAAAACCCACAACGATATGACGGCCCAACATATTCCAAAGTGGTTGATAAAATCGATGGCGCAACCGATAAATGATGACCAAGTGATTACCAGAAATCCAGGATCATCTGTTGCAAAACATCTCATGACAACAAGATACACAGTTGACCCTAATTCGTCTTTCAAACCACTATTACGTAATCAAAATTCTAAACTTTTGACAAATAGTGAAGCACTACTCATTTGATAACATCACCCGATCCTGTGCACACAGAGGTTTTTGATACAAGCAATCCCTTTTACCGTGTAGTTGACCTTCTACTTCTAAACTTGGTAATCTTTGTATGCGTGTGCACGTTCGTTCAACATAATTGCTTGATCCCATGTGTAATATATATATATGCCTGTTTGTTTTAAGTCAGGGACTGAGAAGATTGAACAAAATGTTAACTCATCTCGCGACATTTGTCTTCTTTCTGTTTTGAGATGAAATGGACAAAAAAGGGAACAAAATGCTTCAGCTATTTTAGTACTCAAACCGAGAGAGAAACTCTCACGTTTACACACCGGTCATTACCAATAAGAGAACAGCTGTATTCGTAGTGAATGTACCAGGCAGAATCTGCCGGATGACGACCGCTTTTATTTAACTGCGGGTGGTGGCGGGATTCAAACACATGTTTTCTATGTTGATCATTTGGTGATTTTTACCGCTTGATGGTGCAGACCGAATAACTCATCAAGCATGATCATCACATTTACAAAAATTGGCATATTTTCTGTTGCTCTCGCGGTCACTGAATCCATCGTTAATTTGCCATTTGTACACGACGAACTCTCCTTTGTAACGGATCATCATTGAAGGCTATTTTACGTGGCATTAACTTCTCAGTTACTCATGAGTAGTAGTATTGTGGTATCGGTGACATTGAGTTCCATTTCATTCGCATTTGTGCGAGAAAAACAAACACGGATTTGTCCATTCATACGTTTAAATCGATTGACTGGGTTGACGTTCGATTTGCAATTCTCCGTGAATAGACACTTTGCATGCATTTGGCTTAACGGCCCGGTTCTGATGGTGGGGGTGATATGCGACAGATCAGAGATATAAGCAGATTGGATGAAGTTCTGTCCAAGGATCCCAATCACAGAACGCTACGAGGAAAGACAGATTATTTTAACCCAAACAAACACCAATTGTTTATCGGTGTAGTTGTCCCATGGAAAGTCTAATAAAATGGAAAATCGAATAGAGGATTTTGCAAAGTGTTGGAAGAACGACCTAGAAACAGTTCCTAGTCAAAAAGTCTCCCACAGATAGGCTATGTAACATTGTCAACTGTGGTATATTTCGCTCAGTGGCCTGGAAGAAGCCTACGCAAAATTTCGTGTGTTCATTTATATCAGATCAAATGAAAGCTTATCGGGTAAAATCTTCAATAGACACGCATCTGGAATCTACAGTGAATCGGGCGGTTCGAAAAGATTTTAAAATCCACACACTATTGACCACTCAAAGAGCGATGATGGAGGATGGAATTTTACAGTTACATGGGGAGAGTCCTGTTAAAATCAAAGTGCATTTTGTGTCCTAAATGATCCCGAAATCGATTCCGCTGGACAATGGGTTCAGTGCTTTCACTGTTTTGGTTTCCTTTTAACCAAGTCTAATTGTCGAGACCTTGATCAAAACAAGCGTTAAACCCCGGGGAAAAGGTTTCACCATTGTCACTGTTATACCAGGTCCAGATTACCCCAAATCTTGAATGGTACGATTTTATGCGAGCAGGCTTTCTACTCTTCTACTCCCATTCGCCCAAGTTAATCAGCTGATCTTTTCAAGGACTGTTCCACAACATACCATTTTACGGTGAACGGTTTAAATGTCACCCTTTGTTTTTGAGATTCTATTGTGTGTTGTATTGAATGAAGATGAATTCCGCGGATACTGTTTCGTGATCATCATCAGTTTTCAATTTACCTCCACTCACTCATTAGAACACAAGCTACACTTGTACCAGTGTTTCAAGCATTCAATAATGCGCATGCGAGGCCTGAAATCAGTCGGAAGCTTGACCAGTTGGTACATGCAGCAGCGATCAGTGAAGCTCGTTTCACTGATCGCTGCTGAACGATGGTGATGATGACATGCAGCAGGTGAATCTTCTCATCACACGTCCCCGTTTAATGCATTCATACACTCATCGGGATCCGCAGTTCATGAATCGGTTTATTGGAAATCATTCAAGGTGAACAATAAAATTCACAAAAGCGTTCGATCGGGTGAACGACGACAGTCTACTGTGGAAATTCTATAATCACGGTATTTCGGGCCTCATGCTTGATTGGATCGAAGCACTTCTCCAACATCAGACCGTATCGCTTCGTGCTTCTAATTCGCTTTCCAGTCCTATGGACATTACCCGCGGGGTTCCACAAGGATCTGTGCTCGACTCGCGACTTTTCCTAACATCCATAAGCGATCTGACGAAGGCTCTGGGGCCAAAATCATTACTTTTTGCAGATAACGCCAAAATTTGGAATACAGGAACGCAACCAGCGGGCTTGGTGTCACTCCAGAAAATTCTGAAAGCAGCTCACCTCTGGTCTTTTCTGGACGATATTGAATTCAACGTGCCAAAGTATATAGTTCTATCTCTGTGACACCAAGGGCAATTTCTGTATTTCCTCGGAAATGAACAACTGCCACACGCCTCAAGTGAGAAAGACCTGGGCATCATCATTCAAGAAAACTTAAGCTGCTCACACAACTGCATCAAGGTATCGGACGCAGCTGTAAAAAAATGTCGATTTGCTTAAGCGGGTCTTTGGCCGGTTTGAGTCAGCTCTTTTATCCCGTCTACTATCAGCATACAGTCGCCCACTCACAGAGTACACCATCCATGCATGGAATCCATGGCTAAAACGTAATTGCAAAATGCTGGAGCGTCCACAAAGGACGGTTACCAAAATGGTTATGGGGTTGAATGGTTGTTCACCCGCAGAGAGATTGAAGTCGCTGGATTTATATTCCAATCACTACCGACGCATCATAGGCGATATGATTATGGTATACCAAATAATGCAGAACCCAAGCCATCCGTGTCGCCCGCTGCTCAAATTATCACCAAAGGTTCATCTTAGAGGACATCCATTCAAACTAGCGGTCTCAAA